TTTAGCTTTTTATTACATGTAATAAATTGTTTATACAATATTTAATTAAAAATAATTTAAATAATTTTCAACCAAAGTCGATTCTTTAGCTAAAAATTCATCCACCAATTGCTCAGGTGAATATTCCATATTTCCAGCATCATATCCAGTGCTAATTATTTCATTTTCAATGTCATATTGAGACAAATTAACAATCTTGCCAATAAGTAATGAAGCTTGCATATTTTCAACATTTTCAGAGACTTCTTCCAGATTAGATAAATCTTCTTCCAAAACCATTACTTTAGCAACTGCTGAAATGGTAATGGCTTCTCGTAATTCGGCCTCAGTAAGTTCTTTTCTGTAGTCATCTAATTCGGATTTAATGTTTGTCATATAATATGATCTAATTTTTGTCATACTTTCTAAATTATCGACACTTAAACTTATTTTTTTGTTATCAATCATCCATTTTAGAATAGAAAAATTTTTTTCACAGCTTGCTTGTGATGAAGAAATAGAAAAAAGCTGGCATACCAATTTAACTAGGTGCTGGGGTTGGGTTTTTATTGATCCCCATCATAAAATTGGTATATCTATCCCAGATGTATAAGGTAAGTCATACGAAGATAACCTTGCATCATAACATCAAAGTTGTGTAACCAATTCTCAACTTTCTTGCTCAGTATAGTTAAGACTCTGTCAAAGCGAGGTAGCAGTAAGAGCTGCTTCTCTAAAACCTCTGTCTTTAAGCCCAAATCCTAAAATTTGAATTTTTTTTAAATTGTTATTTATGTATATTCGATATCTAAATGATCCCAATAAAATAATACTTATCACGATACTCAGGATGAATAAAATATGATAATATATAAATAGGATAGTAAAACTCTTTAAACCGTTTATTAAAAATCTTAATTGTAATTTGCAAATATTTGTAAATAATAAAGGACACCTTATAGTGTTTCGTTTGTTAAAAAAAAAAAAAAAAAAACCTTTATCACGTATTGTTTAAATAGATTTATTGAAGAAATTTGGTAGATTGCAATCACAAGTTTAATTAAATAATTAAAAAAATTGGCTAAATTTGCTGAATTATTTTCCAATATATCTATAACCTCCTTATTCGATGTCCAAAGAGCTTTAGTTTGCCGGCAATTTGTAAAAAACTTTTCATCAGTCAATAGTATAAGAACTTTAACATTAGTAATGATATCCCGATGCTCTATTAATATCTATATTTTAAAAAAAATTATATGTATTATAGTTATGCAAACAAAATAATAAAATTTATTTTATTTTATTTACCCAATCAAATACAGGTCTAGCACATAATATAGAATCAGTAGTAAAATATAAGGAAGTCCAACGAGTTCGATACCACATATGAAGCCCTTCAAGTCAAATTTTCATCTCACTTAAACCTTTTCATAAATATGAATTGGCCCGATATGATTTATTAAAAAACTTTACAACCTTATTACATTTATTAATTAAATCTTTAATGCTATTTTCTTTAACAATATCAAATACAATTAGGTTAATCGCATGTGCCACACAACTTATATCCCAAATATGGGAATATGTTTCTTGAATTTTTTTTCTTGCATAACAACAATTAAATGCTGCATCTATAACTACTGCAGCAAATTTCTCACTTCCAATATCCTCGATTAAATTAGATATTTCTGATGCTAAGAATTCCTTTAAGAGTATTTCTGATGAATAATTTTTTAATTTTAGAAGATATTCTTTTTGATTGATCGTAGATACAATATAATTATAAAGAGAATCTGCACGTAGAGATGTCCAACCATCTAACACTAAAATTAATCATTAGTTAATAAATTAAATATCATATTTAAATTATTATATTTTAGTATATGTATATATATATATATATATATACATACTTAATATTAAATTATCACAGTATTTAAGTTTCTTATTAACCAAATTTGTTACTCATGCTACTTCAGTATCCAAAAGCCATCCCAAAAGCATAAATCATAATAGTGGATCATATTTCAATTTTTTAAATAAATCCTTTATAAAAGAATTTTCAATCACATTGAATGGAATTCCAGCCATTACCCATGTCTTTAATAATAATTTATCAATTTGACATTTTATTTCTGAAGGAATATTATTCACATCTTGCAGATTAATCATTCGACCATGAATCGTATTAGCTTCCTCGATTAACTTATGACACCAATATTCACTAATATTTTCAGGACAATCTACGCAATGATTGGCCAAATGTGCTTTCATAACTTGTGGTTTTCCATATTCCCAAGCAGTTAAACAATAATAACAAGTCACTTTATAATGTCTGTTACCTTTACTAGAACCTTTAATGTAAAATGACCATATTTTGTCAAAGTTAGGACTGCAAATTTTTTGCTTATTTGAATTTGTTGAATCAGAAGCAGCGATATCATCTAAACTTTCTCTTTCAGGACTTGTCATTTTTGAATTTGAGATATAATATAAAAAAATTTAATTTAATAACCTTTAAAATTTAAATAAATAACCTTTATTATTAATTAAATCAATTATGTATCATGTTTAGTGTATTGTTTTATTACTATGTATAATGTACAGTAAATAGTTTATTTAGTCATTAGCTTTTGTCAGTTATTTTAGTTTATTACAGATTTATGATTTACTACGTGATTTACTACGTGATTTACTACATACTACTATAATTACGACCTACGACATACTATTCATAATACGACCGGAGTTACTACCTACGTCAAAACTACCAAAAAGTTGCAACTTCACTACAATCGGTCATAATTAATTACCTCAATACAACTGCACCACTACGCACAACTTCTTATTATGTACACTCCCCTGACAAAAGTCCCCGGAATTTTGATTTTCATGATGATCTAACCTAATTGGATGATGATCATAGCACATATAAACCATAATTTTTTTAACTGTCAGAAGGTAAAACCGACACTCGATAGAACCTGCGAAATGGACGTCATTGTGGCACACTTACCTAATTAGAGGTGTCCATGACGATCCATCTGGAACATGTGGCCCGGCCCCAAAGAAGCCATATGAAAGTACACAAGCCTCCATGCGGTACCCCACCACCCTCTCCAATTAAAGTAAGGTCGACCTGGACCAACATGTTGCGCTGGGAATGGACGTTGACTCCACCTACCTTACTTGGGTTAGGTGTGAGGCGATGTCAAGAGGGGTGCGATTGAAGACAATATGATGGGTTCTGGCCCCAGGATAGTGAAACTGAAACATTTCTCATCGGTTCTATGAAAG